AATCTTATTTTTACGCGAGGAATCTGCCAACGAGAGATGGCACATGCTTTTTGAAACCACAATGTATAAACTATCACTCCAACCTTTTTATATCTGTCTGCTATTGTATTTTAATCTACCAAGAGCACTAGACTGTATTTAATTCCGTCCTAACGAGAAACACATTCAAATTACAAATAAATATCCTACTATCGTTAACGAACGTTCGTCCGCCAGAACAACCCCGATTCGAACTCGGCGCGGCGCAACGCTGATAATTTTCCAAACGACCACATTGTTATTATAGATGGCGCCGTTACATATTATTATTACACAAGAGCCATATTGTTACGACTTCGATTTCCGGCCAAAACGGCTCGGAATAAAATGAAACATGGCAGATTAATTCCGGAACGTTGCCAACGCCACGAAGAGCGCGCCACCGGGAAGGGATTCGGTCAACGTCAGGGTTGAGGTCCGTGCCACGATTCTGGATAGCCGAATGAATATCAGATACGGACAAATTGAGGGGATTATAGTGATGGGCAGCAGGGGGAGGGGGAGACAAGATACACAATTGTGTACTTTGCTACATATTTACTTCAATGATTGCACAGCTATACTCTGTTTTTTTTCTCAGGTAAGATTTCGATAGACGAGCAGATGACGTCCATACCAATCTATTTATTTCACTAAAAAGAGTTTCTAATGTTTTTTAATCCGTCGTGCTTGGTCTCTTGTCGATTTTAACCAGTTTTATTGGTTTATTTCAAAAATGACAGATCATATTTCAATATTATTGGATTGACGCAACGATGAACGATATACGTACGTATATGCGTATGAACCCGACTTAAGATTTTTAAGGCTTGTCAAACTTTTCCTAAATTATAGGTTATAATTTTGTGTCAGACTAATTCAAATACCGATTTGCGAATTGCTTTTGCATTTTGGTTCATGTTATTAGTTGTGTGTTTTGTGTTTTTTGAAGTTAAGTGGAGGAAAAATCGAGGGAACTTAACTGTAGACCACAATTTATAGTTAATATTCGGTGCCCAGACAGAGTTTTATACACAAATAAAGTTACCATTTCAGTAAAGTTTGTATACCATCTTGTATATGGTACTAAAAACTGAAGTACCTGTAAAATAACATCACACCATAGCACAGTGGTTCCCCTTAATTAGCTGCGCGGTCATAACTCTTAGATATGTAGATATAGCTTGACTGCACCTTTTTTAATGTAAATTCATAACAAATGCTAAATAAATGTATATAAAAACTTAATGTAATATGTATTAAAAAAATTGGGCCCAATTCGTGTGATTTGCATTTTAAGTTCTAACTATTCGGAAATGTATACAGATTATGTTTGCACATTAATATGTCCATGTTTTTTCATATTGAAGAGGTCAAATTTATTTTAAATGTTGAAAAAATAAAAGAGACAGTGTTTCATTTTATAAATGCAATTTTATTGTCAATTGATATACAGTGTGTCCACGAAATAAGTTGACACGAAGAGGAAAAAATAAGTTACTTTTATTTTAAGACAAAAAGTCAATATTTAACCACCCGGTATAAGATCCGGCGGCAATTCGCGGCAGCCAGTGGCAATTAATTTATATGCAATATACTTTAAGCAACAAATATTATTATGCCGTTTAAGATGATTTAAAAGGGAAAGTAGTTAAAAGTCTTAAAGAGTGACAACCAAAAATGTAAAAATACTATTTTTGTTGCCTTCAAATAAATTGCCATGAACTAATATTACTTAGGTTTAATTAAGTGCAAAAAAGAAAAAACAGTTCTTTTTACCTTCTTTTCGAACGACCATTACAGAAAAGGCAAAAGCTTTTATCAATTTTAATAAAATAAGTAATTAATTGGCGTTATCTGAAAACTGTTTATGTCAGCTTGATACCAGTAGCAAAAATGTGATATTTCTATTAAAAAAAGCGCTACACTAGGCTTACTTGATTTTGTTATTTATTATGTATCGTTTACAGGGGAATATAAGAAAAGTATTAGCAACAGTTTCATGCAAACATTTTGAAATTAATATTTCTAAGTAATGACCTATCTGGGAACCACTGTGCATAGGTAAATAATATATTTTAGTACTGCAGAAACAATGTCAAAAGGTACTGGTTTAAAAAATTAAGATTAAAGTTAATTGATCAGCTTTTAAGGTATAAAATTTAGTAAGTGTTATTATTAATAAAATATTTTGTTTTATTTATGTTGTGTTTTATTTATTACTGTGCAATATTAATATCTTTTTATTTGCACATAAGTTTAGTTAGTTATATTAATAAATATAATAATAAATTCAGGAAGCTTCTTGAAGCTTGAAAGTAAGAAATAGTTCTTTTTTTATGTGGTGTTTTGTTTAAAATACATCCTTGTTTGTTTTGCACCCATATATTTTGCTTGTACACATACATTTTTAAAAATTGAATAACTCGATTACATTTTTTCAGTTTTATACAGTTTTTCTCCACAATATTTTGAAGTAATCACTTGTCACTCAAATTTTAAATATACATATAGGTATTCAATTGTACCAACTTATTTCTTTGTAAAATAAAATAAACTACTTTCTACTACTTTTTAAGAGTTTGATTTCGACCGCTAGAAAGTATCAAAGGACTTTCTCTGATTGAAGCCTAATTGACAGTATTAATTTTGAATTAGAGTTTCCAGAATCGTACTAAAATATTGTCGTTCAACGATTGTGGAGTTCGTCAATTAGCAAGCAGCGGATGTTTCTCAAAAGTAAAATCGATTAAAAATTGAGTTTCAAATGAAAATAATATCAAATTATTAAGTCATAACATGTAAATACATGAATGTAAACATGAACACAAATAATCAACACAAGGGTAAAAGAAAACACATAGGTAGCTCAAAAATAATATCAAACAACATCAACCAACCTTGAAACCAACTTAACTAAATTAGAAAAAAAAAATAACATTTTCAATTAAAGATGCAAATGCTTATAAAAACATAATACAAAAAATATAACTAACACATTCAGCAATGTTATACTAAGTAATAAAATAACATATTTAAACTTCAATAATTCCTAATAAACATTATAAAAACTTCAAAATAACTTCAGAAGTAACAGTAAGAGATAACATCACTACTTATTTAGAAGAGTTTGATTTCGACCGCTAGAAAGTATCAAAAGTCTTTCGCACGTAACAAAAAATATGTTTTTAATTATTATTACCCGAGGTTCTGAACCCTAAGGCTCCGCGCGCACTGCATCGGATCGGACCGACCAGCAAAAGCGACTGCGACCATCGTACATATAGACGGCGCCGGCGTCCACTAAAACATTTTGGCCTGTAGAGGCCAGATTCCTACCTCTACCTATCTACGATAGTCGAGTCATCGCCTTCGCCGTTTCTCGCCGGCCCGATCCGATGCAGTGCGCGCGGAGCTTAAGGCTCCGCGCGCTCTGCATCGGATCGGACCGACCAGCAAAAGCGACTGCGACCATCGTGCATATAGACGGCGCCGGCGTCCACGAAAACATTTCGGCCTGTAGAGGCCAGATTCCTACCTCTACCTATCTACGATAGTCGAGTCACCGCCTTCGCCGGACTGGTACCGATTCAGTGCGCGTACACCTTAATACCAGAGTAAGCAGATCGCCGAGTAGCGACAGAAACCGTCGCACGGTGAGCTATTGACCCAGTTTAGGTGGTCAAAAATATCTGAGGATAATGAAGTAACTAACTTTGTTGGTTTTAACCAGAATTGAATGTAAGAGCCAAATTTTTTGCTGTTTTCAAAGATCTCACTAACTTTTTAAAACAAAAATGTCGAAAAAATAGATTTTAATAAAAATATATATTCTTAAGGAAAATTACAACTAAAAATTTAATCCGAACTTGAGGAAAACCACGAATCTTCATCTGATGAATGTTTTTCTTCACTATAACCTTCGTCGGAGACGATTCGGTTCTAAGGGTTGTGCTAGCCAAGGGTTCATCTGGAAGAAGTAATTCTAAAGTTCCTTTTAGAAAAGGTTTAGTCTTTTTCTTTGGTTGTGATCTTGTCATTGATAAAAATGGATCGGAACTTAAAAGCAAACGATTTAATATATCCACGTTACAGGATTCTCTAGAAAACTTTCTGGCAAAGTTTTGTCGATATAATCTAATATGTTTATTTCTGGCTTCTGCAGCCTCCTCAGACAGCTGTCCGATGGGAAGAATGGCATATTCTATTACCTCTACATCATGCACAAGTAATTTGTGCATAGTAGGTGTCATTGGATGCCAAGGATAAAGTGCTACATATAGTTCGGAGGTCTCTCTTGCATAACAGGCAAATTTTTGTGTATTCACCCTATAGCTACTAGAAATGACTTCAAGAGTTACTTTAAACCGATGAATAAGGGTTATATCAATTCCGGTAATTTTAGAGGAGACTTCTGGATCGGCAAAAAACCTGCGACTGGTGTTTCCATCGTTTTTATTTCCAAAACTTTGTTTTGACATTCTATCCATCTTTTTTTAAATTCAGCTTGCAAACGTGAAAAATTGTGCTTAATTTCTCTTTTTTGATCTTCACAAAAAGCATATGTAAGAAGATAATTTTGCAAAAATGCCAATTTTTCGTCAAATATTTTCAAATTTTGTTGACTCGTCAGATTAAAAAGTTGATTTCGGGTGAAGATCGTATCTCCAGCAGGTCCTTAAATGCAAAAATACCGTATTAGATGTACGTCTCAAAAAATAATAAACTGCGCTAGTTTTTAAAAACTAGATTTTTTTCAAAAAGTGGCGGCATTTGGCTGCTACTTAATATCATGTTTTGTAGAAGAGGAAAGGCTTTTTTTAAATGATCAAAGTTTTTTTGTCGGGAAATGCAAGGAACCACATAACAACTTTAGACGTTTAAAAAAAAGACTCAAAAAAAGTTAATATACCTTTCACTAGGCGTAGCTTTAAAAAACCAACCAGATTAATTTGATTAAAACATGAAAAGTCTATATTTACCTGCTTCATCACAATTCATATTCACTTTTGTAAACAAATATATAAAAAATAAAATTTATTAATTTAAAATAAAGCAATTTTTAAGCGGAAAACACTCTGCTTGTGAGACAGACAAATTGGAACTAGTTCTAAATACGAATACCTGTTTGTATGGCAAAAAGCAAGTTATTTTTAGATGCCTTATCTCCTGGGCTTCAAGATAACATTTTTCGTTGGTCATAAAAATTAATTTTTAAAAATTACCTTTTGGCCGGCTAAAATGAGCAAATATATCACCGTGCGTCGGTTCTTTTGATGTGGTGGGACCAAATTTTCTTTCTCTCTCTTTTGACGTGTTTGACAGATAGACTACGTATTTAACTGCTCAACTTATGAAGTGGTCCTATAAATATGGTATACACTGCTCACAATTTGAAGTGGAATTAATTATAAAGTTTTATACATATCTTTTTTGTTTTGTTTTATCCTTATTTCTAAATTTGAATGTATAAAATATCTTACTGCTAATAAATAATTAAAAAAACGATTCGTTGCCTGAGGTATACTTGAAATAAAGTATATAGAGATATTTGATAAATGGCAACAGTGGCAACTTCGCTTCTTCGTATGACAGATAACCTACTTATTTCGCGCAGCCGCACAGTGGAACGAGCTTATGGGAGCGGTTGGACATGAGGTTTTCTTCTCAACACTTTTAATCCAAAAGACGGAAAAATGATTTTTATATACCGTAATAATGTATAAACAGAACAATTTTAAATTTTAATGAAAGAAAGTGGTTGGCTCATTACAAACCATCTACAGGGTAACCTAAAAATATAGTATGTTTTGAAAAATCTTACAATTTTAAATGCTTATAAACTTTGTCAAACTGTCGTGGAATGTTTTAGTTTTGATCCTTTTAAAAGAAATAGCTTTAGATTTTACCACTGAAATCTAAGACTACTGATACCGTGTTATAAAAATATGGTAATTAAGGGCTTACATATATTTTCCTATTTAATATAATTTTGCTAATATCTTCGATTTGAAAGAAGATATCAAGATGCGGTTTTCACTGACTTTTTAAGCTTTCATTACTCTTTACTATCAGCTAAAATTACATATACCATCGCATTTATTTTTTTTTGAAAAAACGCGCAATGTTTGCTAATTTGTAAGACAGCGCCCCCTAGCATCTACGTTCAAAAGCTTACTATTATTGTTTATATGGTATAATATAGAGTAAGAAACGGTATTTTAAACGAGCCCCCGTTAGTTGAATTCCGTCCATCCAGTCCGGAATTATTAATATTTAAATAAAGATAGATCTAACCTTCCCCCGCCACTTTATTTTGGCAGATAGAGGAAAATGGTTCTAACAAAAAATATTCAGAATTTACTGAAGATTATGAAGCTATTATTTATAGTACCCCTTATCTAGGCAAAGTTGTGTAAAAACTCCATTTTCTTATTTTTTTATAGCAGTGGCGCCCTATAGCGGCCATTTTACAAATTTGAAAATAATTTCCAGCATTTTCTCATGGTCTCTTTAGTTATGAATATTTTTTTTTCCGCAAGCCTCACGGCTAATACTTTCCGAGATATAGCCGAGAGCTATTCTTAGTGGGACACCCTGTACAATAACTTTATTATAAGCAAAGAATATAACAGTAAATCAACGCACTAGAATATTTTTATTACAAACAAAAAACCTCAACACTGCACTTTAACCCTCTTTCTTTTTCCAATAGTTTATAAGTTTTCCATATATTTGTAGCACCCTGTATCTGTTTTTGATTTTAGCGTCATTTTGTATTTATCCAATTAATAATTAAATATTAATAAATTTATAAAAAAATAAAGATAATTTGACTCTAAAAATTTTAAATTAATTTATTGGAATTGAAAAGGTTTTTGATTTTAGTATAACATGTATTAGTAATATATTAAATGGAAATTTTTAGAGGGGGGCAAGCTGGGGCAAGATGTTAAATTAGTTTCGTTATTAGAAAGGCTTAATCTACCTTGTGATATATATAAAGTCTTGGCCAACTTTGGCCATTTTTTTATTTTTCTACATACACATTTTTTTGCTACTAAATATAGTATTTGGCAGCAAAAAAATGTTTATGTGTCTCTTATATACAATTGTTCTCCCAAACTTTTGTGACTATATATATCTTTTATTTTAAAGTGAAAACAATCGTTTGCACTAATATGTATGGTTAAAAAAAATTATTAATGTCTTTGCCAGTTTTTATAAAACTAGGTTGTTTCACAAGAAATGAATACCATAATTAAGTCAGTGTAATATCTTCGTTTGAAACTTTTCAAACAGACATATAATTAAAAATATTTTTTTGAGTTGGATAAAATATAACGGTCTGGACTTTAAGTAATTCAAATCTTCTACCAAAATTATTTAATTTAAAATTTTATTTTTAAGTCAATGTCCAACATTTTATATTGGGTCTTTCCACCGTGAGCCGCAAAGAAAATTGAAAACGGGACTGTCGCTATTCGTCGGTTTAGGTACTCTGCTAATACTAACATACCAAATCTCGTTTTCTTATCTGAAAAAATAAAATAGTTATAGGCCAGGGGCAAACCGCTGGTGGTATTTATTGTATAAGCACTTGGTAATACTGGTATTTTTTTGGTACTTTTGATACTAATTTGGTATTTTTGGTACTAATTTGGTATTTTTGGTACTAATTTGGTATTATTTGGTAATAAACTGGTATTATTTGGTAATAAACTGGTTTTATTTGGTATTAAACTGGTATTAAACAGGTGTTTTGTTGGATTTACATTTTGTTGGAAGCGGATTGCATCATTTCTAGCCCATTTGCATTGAAAATGAGCCGCCTTCGCGCTTTTTACACGATCAAACATTTTTGGTGTTGACCTATTTCATATGAAGTATTTTAAAGTTTTTATATTTAATGTCCAAGGTAAGTACCTCCTTAACAATTAAATATATCTCGTAATATACATACTTAAAAATAATTACTTTTGTTTCGAGGTTAGGTTGCTGGCCTATTTGAAAAATAGGTTATTTTTACCCGATGTTAATTGCCAAGCTTGCAATTTTTCAATGCTTAAAAATGGTTTTTACGCAAAAACGGTACATATCGTCATACGAAACAATGTCAAGAAATTAAAGAACTCGCATTATGGAAACATAATATGGATCTCGTTAGAATTTCTTATTTTTCTTATGCATATAATTATATTTTTGTGCTTATAAGTAATAAATAGCGCAAATAACAAAAAATTCAATTACTTTTTATGTCTAGTTTTTATTTTATAAATTTTTGAAGTATCGATGTTAATGGAACCGTTAAAATGACTTTTTAAGCGTGTCATGACAGTAGCTTTATTCGAGTTCCCAAAAAGTACGGTTCTAGAACGGTTCAAAACACTGGTAGAATAGGATTTTTTACAACTTTTGACATGAATGATTGTCGTAATTAGACTGTGCGATTGTTTTAAACCGTTCTAGAACAGTACTTTTTTGGAACTCGAATTAAGTTATATGTTTTTCTGACCTAATTATCGTATTTTGACATGAATAGGCCCTAAAGGTCTAAATATCTTAAATTCTTTAGATACTAGAGAGAATAATTTTTTTTTAGAATTTAGAATGAGTGGGAGGGGGGTTAATCACTTCGACCTTACAGATCCATTGTGTCCCCCTTTCTTGAATCATAACTCATCATACAGTCCCAGGGCTTTGACAAAAGCCAGTATCTGGGACGGTTTTATAGAGGGTAGTTCTCCATCTCCAATATCAGTCGTACCAAAATTCATGGCACGAATGGTTGTCGTCTCGGCGCACTCAGTGATGAGGTGTACTGGTGTTTCACCATCTTCCCCACAGAATCTGCATTCGCCGTTTCTTTCGTTCTTAGTTTCAATCTACTGAGGTGTTCATTGAGGAGACAGTGTCCTGTTAAACCCCGTGACAATCCGAAGATTGTTCTTACTCAGACCCAGGAAGATCTGCGATTTTTCTTGATCATAAGCCCTCAGAAACTTCTTCGAGTGTCTTAGACCATTGCAAGATTTCCATTCCAGGTTGCGGATGGAATCTTCCAAGTTCTTGAGTTCCGCCTTGAGTTGGTTACCACTTGGAAAGCAGAACGGTTCTGGTCCAGTTAGTGGAGTGTTCGCTCCTTTCCTAGCTAGATTATTTGCTTTTTCATTGCCTTCTATCCCTTGGTGAGCAGGCAGCCAGTGTAAGAGGACTTTGTTTTCTTTGCCTAATTTATTCAGCTTCTCTATGCATTCTTTGACCAATTTCGAATTGATTGATACTGAGTTGATCGCCTTTAACGCTGCTTGACTATCAGATAAGATGGCTATTTCTTGTTTCCGATAGTTCCTATCTAGAGAGAATAATACTAATTTGGTATTTTTGGTTCTAATTTGGTATTTTTTTGGAAATAATTTGGTATTTTTGGTACTTTTTCCCAAAATTGGTATTTATTGTACACCATTTTTGGCAGCCGAGGGGCAAACCGGTTATAGGGGTGAGCTACTTTAGAGACGCACCCCCCGCACCCGGTATGTTTAGAGACTGTAGTTTACCCAATGCTGATTGAGTTAACATTATTTGTAACATACAAATTCAAAATAAATTATGTACTAACTTAAAAATTAAATTCTATTAAATATCGAAAGGAAAAACGGAAATAAAATATGACGTCCCTCAACCGGGTGCTTTTGAATTTTTACTGCCGGAAGATTTCGGTTTATGTATTCCCGTTGTCACGTAAAATAGGGACATGTTCCATTCAAAAAAGAAGGAGCGATAAAAATTCGCCGCGGCGTTTGTAAAATTCCTTAAATTATAAGTTAGAGCAGCGCTGGTCGACGATACTCGTAAACTTCTTTTTGGGACACCGTCGAGAACTACCGGCACCTTAGATCATATGTATTTTGTAGATGCCGCTACACAATTGGATTTGTACTTTGGATTTGTAATATAATAAGTTTTCTACGTCGTCAACTTGGGCGGGTGTGAATTATACTAAATCGTGATATTGTTTTTAGTGACCTTAAATAACCCCTGAGTGATCTCTTTTATTTATGAGTTACAGATGTTTTTATTAAATAAATATTTGTGGACACCCCGTAGTACTGAGGAAGGCATTAAATATAACGAAACCTCGATTTTTTACTTAACTTAACTTACTTAACTCAAATCCTTA